CTTTAGTTGGTAGAATGCGAAATTGGTCTACGATCAAATTATTTCAGAAAGTGATATTTTATTGGAAACAAAAGTAAAGCAAACCCACCAAACCCTATTAAGAATATAATAATAAGATCCGTTCGGTGTAATCTCTCTCTCTTTCACTGTGGATCGGCGTTTTCTTGTGTGCGAGATCTCCACGGGGAAAATGGCTTCTAGTTTATTGTGGGCTTCTAGGGTTGCTTCTCGTCTACGGATCTCCGTTTCTCAACGAGGGTTTTCTTCCGGTGAATCTCAATCTCCTCTTTGTTTGATCTTCTTCGGTTTTTTTTTTCCGATTATTCTGCCTTTTGATCTGAGATTGTTCGTTTTGAAAGTATGGGTTTTTGTTGTTATTTAGTATCTGATCGGATCGTAAGCGAAAGATGAGAGCTTTGATTTTTGTGTTTGTTGGATCGATTTTCTCCGAATTTCTCAGAGATTGCATTTGATTCATTGAGGAGGCTCTGTTTGTAATAAATGATTTGGTTTTGTTGTGGAACTATGTGTTTAGAGAGGAAGAAGATTTGTTTTTGATTCTGTTGTTGTTGGAATGTTTATTATAGTGGTTTTGAAGGATCTGAAATATGCTGATTCACATGAATGGGTGAAGATTGATGGGAATAAAGCGACTTTTGGTATAACGGATCATGCGCAAGACCATTTGGGTGATGTGGTCTATGTTGAGTTACCTGATTTGGGACGTCCAGTGTCTCAAGGTGAGAGTTTTGGAGCCGTCGAAAGTGTGAAAGCAACTAGTGATATCAATTCTCCTGTCTCGGGTACTGTAGTTGAAGTCAATGAGAAACTGACCGAGTCCCCTGGATTGGTGAGTCCATATCTCTCTGTTGAACCGAGTTAGTCTCATTATTCATTCTGTTACTTGATGCAAATAGTCATTTGATTATTCGACAGCTTTTCTGATGTAAATGTTTTCTTGATCCGCGGGTGATGAATGTGTAGATTCTTTCTTCCTCATTCGATTCTTGGAAATTTTTAGCTGATGTGAAAGTCTTAACTTGGAGAATCTTGATTCACTGGATACCAATGTAGTATTGTGTCAAACGTCGTAAACTTGGAGACTATTGGTTCCGTGGTATCGAGCTAAGATTCTTTTTTTCTGTTGTAATTCACAGGTGAACACGAGCCCGTATGAAGAAGGATGGATTATAAAGGTGGAGCTGAGTGATGCAGGCGAGGCAAAGAACCTGATGGATTCAGACAAGTACTCTAAGTTCTGCGAAGAAGAAGACGTCAAGCACTGAGCTTTTTTTCTTTTCCAAAATCTCTCTTGTTTTCTTTCTTTTAATTGTTTGAATAATGGTAGAGAATAATAGTAAGCTTTTGTGTTCTATTGCCTCTTTGTTTCCCATTTGACTTCTTTACTTAAACTAAATCCATTTCAAATGAAAATTAAAAACGTAAAATGGCATTTTTCCACTTTCGAATATATTGCAAGTATTTAATTCCAGTATATATATAACCGATTGTATACGAAAAACTATTGGAGATAGGTTGGGGAGCAAGACGTGTAGCTTGCGGATCAAGTGTTTTAGGGCATCAAAGCCTGTCTACTGAAGTGAAGCTCGTGAAGCTGATGAAGTCCAGAAGAAGAATATTCTAGATCTCTACATTACTTCTTGTACAAGATATTTCCATTATTTATTAGGAAATTTTACATTATATTGTGTTAGGAAAGTTTACATTATTTAT